GCTTGAAGGTTTGAAGAGAAAGTGGTATTAAGAGCAAGTGGATCAGCAAGAGACGAGTTGGGGAGGGTGGGGGGTATAAAACTATCTAAAAGATGAAAAGAAGGAGCTGCACCAYGTGAAAGATAAGTGACAGAGAACAAGAGAAACGGAGGCAGAGGAGGGGAACGGAGTGCAACGTTTGATGGATTATCTGGTAAAGTGCAACGCTGCACCCGCTTTGCAGTCTTGTTCAGCACCGGTCTAATTTAGGAGAGAAGCGGGCCTCGCTGCTGCACAGAACAGAAAAAAAAAAAAAGACCGTGTGGATGTAGAGGGGGTGAACAGACTCGCACACATCAATTGGTCTTACTGAACGAGGCGTACAGCTTTCCCTGCCACCCACTGCGCTGTGAGGTCACGCTCWAAAAAGGTGCAGGGAGCAGGAGCTGACGCCTTCTTAAACCTGCCTAAAAAAAAAAAACATAAAATAAAAGTTAAACACATTTTTATTGACTGATCCTAAATTTTTCCTGCTAGAAAAAAAAAGGTTAATAAGATTCTGCTGGCTTTTTAGAGAAGCTTCCATCAGCAGAACAGCTCCAAGATGTAACCCAGATCAGTCTGCTGCTGCTCTGACAGCAGGCCTGATGCTTCGTGACGGCACCGTCCAGCTCGTCTCTTCTCATTTCACGGGTGCAAGTGAACCCGCCGCCGCCCTGTTACATCTGCCYCCGACTGCAKTAAAAGTCACCTCCCCTCYTCTCCCCTCTCTCTCTCCTTCTCTCTCGTTTAGGAGCAGCTGGTGAGGACCAAGCTCTCGCCGAACCCTTCTGCTGTCTTTCAAAGCGGATCGAGGGTCTTCAACATCTGACGGCYGCTGCAGATCCCCCTCCCAAGGTCGCCCCAGCTCCACTTTGAGCTCAAGTTTTCAAGGATTCAGCATGGGGGAGTGGGGGGTGTTTCCAGTCCATTCCACAACACAAGAATCTATGCAAACGGGAATGTAATAATGTGAAAACTGTCCCAAGCACAGAGATATAGGACACCACCATTTAACTCCTCCCACCACCCCCCAGTCCCTGCTGCTATGGAAATAAATATGCATGTAACAGGATAGTTTAGAAACATCTTTTTATTTACAGTCATGTGAAAAAATAATTAGGACACCCGATGAAAGCCTGTATATATTTTTTTAACATATTTGGACATATTTAATATCAATATTAACACTGAGGGGTTCAATTAATAGGACTAAACAATTAAAACACTAAAAAAGGCCTTTTTACAACTTTATGTAAAACGTTATTTAAAAAGAATGCAATTTTTGGTGAGGAATAAATTACGACACGCCTACATATTGTCCCACTTGAGATYACATCACACGATGAGATCATCGTTAGCCTGTGTTTTGAGCGAGGCGTGCCCTGATCAAACCTCAGAAAAATGAGTAAAAAGTGAGTGAGCACCAAGGTGAGATCCAGGGAGCTGTCCGAGGCCCTCAGAGAGATGACTGTGGCTGCTTATGTGTCTGGTGGTAAGGGATTTCAAAAGATCTCAAGATTTTGCCATTAGCCATTCCCTGTCCAGGAAATTGTTTAAAGGGATCCATTATTAGTTGTAACATTAGACTTTATTTGATAAACATTTATTTTAACTGTAAAATAAGGACCGTAAACATACTGTTTTTATATTTTTTAAACTAAAAGTTAAAAAAATATATTACATGGACAGGGCCATTTTATTTACACACAAAGCATTCTGGGTAAACGATGACGTGGATAGGTCATCGGTGTGAGTCTGCTAGCAAGCTGTATCCACCCTGAAGGTTAATCTTGGACAATATCTGAAGATCGACTCTTTTAAATGAAACCAGAGAGCGTTGACAGAGAGGAGAAGGTAGAAATGA